GGAGTAATAAAGATGACTCCAATGATGAAATGAAGTATTCAATATATGCCTTATGGCCATCAATAAAGATTCAATAGTAACTTCTAACTCTAGTGAATTAGATTCTTATTTTTTTGATGAGTTACAAATTGCTTATAATGAGTTGCATTTGGTATTTGAGACCATGAATTCCAAATATAAGAACTTAATTTCAAAACTTAAAGTTGAAAATGGTTTGGTTTTGAAAGAAAAAGTTGATTTTTGAAAAACAAAATGAATCTTTGAAAAATGATTTTGAGCTTTCAAAAACCAAAATTGAAGATTTGGAAAAAGAAAATCTTGATTTGAAAGTTAAGCTTGAATATTTAACAAAAAATAATTTTGAAAAACAATTTATCTATTTTAGAAATGGTAAAATGCTCACATTGTCATTTTTCATGGTCATTTGGAACATACTTGTCCCATAAAGAAAAGAAAATATTTTAAAATTAGACAAGTATGGGTTCCTAAGGGAACAATGGGCATTGAAACTAACGTTCAAGGATCCAAAGCAATTTGGATACCAAAATCTACTTAAATGTCTCTTGTAGGTGTGTGAGAGCAATGGTGATGAAAGTGAAGATAGTCAAATGCTCTAGCCACACTTGAAAATGGATGGGTAACCTTTAAACTTAATGATTTTCTTTGATTAATGGGTTGCTCATTTGGGTTTAAGCATGCATGAGCTTTGATTTTAAATAATTTTATATTTTTCATCTCGTGTATGTTGAAAACATGTTATGATGAACATTTTAAAGTTTTAATGATTTCTCATAATTTTTAGTTCATCATAATGAATTTTGTTCAAAATTGGTTTTTAATGCAAAAAATATCTCTCTAACAATTGATATCAATCTTTCAAATGCTTTGAATTTACAAATTTTAATTTTTGACCTAAATTTAAATGTTTATGCATGTGGTTTGAAATGAAAATGATATCTCTCTAACAATTTATATCAAAATTTTCAAATGCATAACATTTTTGGGTAAGCTTTATTCACATGCACTTAATTTCATAAAGTTTATTAGACTTGGATATATTGAATTTCATGTGCTACTAACATGTTTGTTACTCTTTGTTGAAATTCAATTTTGTTTAAATGTCAAGCTTTTAAAAGTCAAATATTTGTTTGGAATGTTTTTATTAAGGGAGAGCTTTTGATTTTTCAAATGATTTTATGATAAAATTTACCAATTAGTCTTCATTGTTATTTTTGAACCTTAAAGTTGAATTATTTTTTATATAACAAAAAGGGGGAGAAGTATGATTTGGAAAATTCAATTTCTCAGTGAAAAAGGGGGAGCTTTTAACATTTTCCAAAATATGTCTCTTTTTCATTAAACGTTTTATTAAGGGGAGTTATGCTAAAAATAATTTTTTAAATGTTTTGTTATATCAAAAAAGGGGGAGATTGTTGAACCATGTTTTATAATATTTTGATATAACAAATAAAGGCAAAATGTTTTTGGACTTGAATTTAATTTATTCAAAGTCTTCAAAAATAATTCAAAGTCCATTAAAATGAATTTGAGCACAAAAATGATTTTCACGTACGAAGCACTGATACTGCTCTTACAGTATCTATAATATATGAACAATACTGATACCCTAGGTAAGATAAATATTGATACTCTCAAGGTAGTGCTGATACTACCATCTTGCTCAAATTCCAGAATGCAAAATAGGTACCGATACCCAAAGGGATACCGATACTACTTTACATAGTAGTATCGATACCATAGTCATAATATCGATACCGTTATGCCCAACGACTAGTAACAGCTAGTTTTATTTAAATATTACAAAGGAAGTACTGATACTCCCTATAAGAGTACTGATACCCTCTATATTGGGTAATTTTATTTTTCAGAGAAAACATCCCCAACATGCTAGAAATCATCCCCAATGGCTAGAAATGGCCACAACCCTATTTCAACATATAATTACAAGTTCAAGACACCTGAAGAGGGGTTAGAACACCTATCCAAGCAATCAAACATTGGAGAAACGTTTTCACTCTTTATTTTCTTTCTCTTGTAAATATTGTGTTTTTTGTGAGATTTAATTTGTAAACACCCTACCTTGTAGAGGTTTTATTGTTTACTTCTTTTATCCTTTTGAAAAGGGGTTTTGGTTCTAGGTATGCCTTTGAAAAACTCGGGGTTTGTAAATGTTATCTCTTTGTCCTTGAAAAAGAAAGAACAAATTAGTGGATTTGTTGGAAAATCCTAAGTGAGGGCTTAGGTACTGGATGTAGACTTTGGTTGAGAAAGTTGAACCACTATAAATCATTGTGCAACAATTTTCTATCCCTTTAATTCTCCCTACTCCCTAAAATTCTCAAAAAGCCAATTCACCCCTCTTGGCAAACTTGTTCGGTTGTCATTTGAGCTTCAACAATCCTAACAGTGTTCATTTAAATTTTTAATATCGTGTTCATGTTCGTTTATTTATTTATTAAGGTGTTTTTGTTCGTTTATTTATTGTTCGCGAATGTATTCATTTATATGTTCACAATCGTGTTCATTTAGTGTTCATTCTCATTTAGTGTTCATTTAGCGTTCATTTAGTGTTCGTTTAGTATTTGTTTATCGTTTGTTTATATATTCAATTTTTAGTTATATCCTTTCATTTGCAAGCTAAAAAAATGATAAAATTACACCACTAGTGCTTAAACTCCTTAAAATCCACAATTTAATTTTCAAATTTTATCATGTGTTCAATTAGTCTCTACCTTCACCAATATTTAAAATGTAAAAAAAAGGAAAAATATTATCGTGTAAACGAGCTTGTTCATGAACATAAATGAAGAAGTCGATAAACGAGCTTATTTGTAAACATAAATGAACTGAACACACATTTGTTCATCTTTGTTCTTTTATTAAATGAACATAACATTTTTCTTCGTACTCGTTTATTTAGCTTAACGAACGAACATAAATGAATGTTATAGCGATTCACAAACAGTTCACCGAATGCTATGTTCATTTACACCCATAGTCTTTAAATATATATATATATATATATTCACAAACAGTTCAGTTCCGTTGCAGGTATATGATTTCAATTTTTAGGTCAATTTCGAATGGGTCAAAAATCCAACCTAACCTTGCCCATTTCATTCCTAATCAAGACTCACTCTAAAAAAACAAAATCAAAAGGATTTTAATAAAAATAATGGATACCTTACCTCATCTTTAAAGGAGAATACAAATGTAAATTTATTTCTTAAAAACCCTTTGAGAAAGTAGAGAAAAATTTATGAGAAAATAGATAGAATCTTAAAAGTATTTTTGAAGAAAAAAATTGTGTTTGAGAGCTTTAAAATTATCATTGATTAGGTAGTTATAAAATTGGAATAAAAAAGAAAATAAAAAATTCAGAGTATAAAGTTGATACAGGCGGTGGTTGGAGATGATATGAGAATGGGCAATAACGGAGTTTGAAATTAGGAATTTTAGGATTTTTTTTATTTTTTTGGATTTTAAATAAATTTAGTTTTTGTAATTTTTAAGTTTTTTAAATTAAAATTTTAAAAAAATAATTATGACATGTGTCAGATAACAATATTTTTTAACAATTATTACAATTTAGATACTTAAAATGATAACATTTGTAACGTTAAGACATATATTGATAATAAAAAGTTTAGACACCTTAACGAGAAAAAAAGTATAGTTTGAGCACTTCATTATATTAAGCCTTTTAAATATAACCTGAGGTGAACTTATTGAGTGATTTCAGTAATAAAAAAGAATGTTGTTCTCCCTAGAGTATCCAAGTTCGAGCATATACATGTGCAGAGTGTGTGCGTTATCAATGGGCTAAAAAATTCTAGAAAAAATTACCTTTTAATCAACCAAGAATATTTAATAAAATAAAATCCAATGTCATATATAACAAAAAAAAGTATAATGTAAAAAAATCCAACGTTTGACTAAATGATTACTTTTGATTTTTATTTTTTAAGTATTTCAACCTTAAATATTTAATTTTTGTGTTAAAATTATTAATTAACTAATAATCAACTTGTTGTTGACATAACACATCTATATATGCTTTAACGCAGATTTGACATTATGTTATGTCGGTAAAAAATTATTAAATTAGTTTTATTTAAAATTTAAAATTTAAAAGTGAGAAAATAAGAAATTTAGGATCGTGAGGATTTTAAACTCGGGTGTAATGGAACAAGAATCCATTCCTAACCACTAAACTAACATGTTAATATAGTATAATGTGACAAAACATAGTATTTATGTTAAAAATAGTAATTATGAATTTTCAAACCCCTAAATCAATTTTTAAACTCATTCATTATATTTTTCCGTTACCCTAAACCCCAAATATCGACAGACTTCAATCATTATTGACGGTCAAACGTCACCTGATCTCTCCAACTCTTGATTGCTTTCCCTTTTGAATCATCTATCTTTCACTCGTCATGATCGGAATCCCTTTTATTGTTTTAGCTGACCTTATTCACATATATAATGGGTAAAGGGAGATAGGGTAGTATGTTGCCTCCAACGCTAGGTTGAGAGCAACTTCCATGGAAGATCTCTGGTAATTATGAATTGCCTACCGTGCGACTCGATCCTACGACCACAAGATTAAGAGTCTTGCACTCTAACAACTGAGCTGGACGGGCAATTCATTGTTGCTTTCCCTAAATTGAGAACCACCACAATATCATATCATGAACCTTCATAACTATTGACCATTCTCTCTTTTTGAATCGTCAAATCTCGAAGACATCTCTTTTTATTTCACAGTCGTTAGTGTATCATCTCGAGTACAAAAACCCAGAACCTCATACCCAAACCTAGCTCAATCATCGTATAAGAAAATCCAAACATATCATTATTCCGTCTAATATTTAACGATCAATGACTTGTTTGTAATAATATTTTAATTGAGTGAACTGTTTATAACTTTTAGAAACAAAATGGCCCGTTTGATATCATATATATAACTGTTTCGGGTTTTGCTCTTCGTCGTCGTCTTCGTTTAGTAGCGTAGGTAGCAGCAGAAAAATATCAAAGAAATCTGCCAAGGGAAATGGAAAAAAGTATGAATTTCGTAATATTGTTGATGCCCTTACTTTATTTAATCACATGGCTCATGCTTCTCCCAGGCCTTGTATTGTGGAATTCAATAAACTGTTGGGGGCTGTTGTGGGAATGAAACATCATGCCGTTGTTGTTTCCCTTTGTAAACAAATGGAGTTTTTAGGAATACCCCGTGATGCTTATACTCTCAACATTTTGATGAATTGTTTTTGTGATTCGCATAGAGTGGATTTTGGGTTTTCGGTTTTAGGGAAAATGTTTAAGCTCGGTTATAAACCGCATTTAGTTACTTTCTCTACTTTGATCAAAGGGTTTTGCATCAAAGGTAAAGTTGCTCAAGCCGCTAGGTTGTTCAATGAGATGGTTCTAACAGGGTTTCGGCCCGATTTATATATATATACGACGATGGTGAATGGACATTGTAAAATAGGCGATAGCAGTGGCGCTCTTAGAATGTTGAGAGAGATGCAAGAAAGAGGTTTTAGGCCTGATATTGTAGCTTATACTGCTGTTATTGATAGCCTTTGTAAGAATAAATTCTTAACCGAGGCTTTGGACCTTGTTTCTGAAATGGAGGGTAAAGGCATTCAACTGGATGTTGTCACTTACAGTTCATTGATTCGAGCAATGTGTAGTTCTGGCCAGTGGAGTGAGGTGAACAGATTACTCAATGAAATGGTGAGTAAGAATTTGAAGCCAAATGCTGTGACTTTTAATATTTTGGTTGATGGACTTTGTAAAGAAGGGAAGATTTCTACTGCTCTAGGTGTAGTTGAAATGATGGCTCATAGAGGTATTCGACCTAATGTTATTACATATAGTGAATTGATATATGGATATTGTTTGCGGAATGAGATGGATGGGGCAAGAAAGGTTTTTGATTCAATGGTTAACCATGGATGTGAACCTAATGTATTTAGTTACAATATCATGGTCAATGGATACTGCAAAACTAAAAGGATAGATGAAGCACTGAAACTCTTTCATGAAATGACTCAAGGAGGACCAGCTCCTGACACTGTTACATACACCACTCTTATGGGTGGCATGTTCCTTGTTGGGAGGCTTTCAGATGCACAAGAACTCTTTGAGGATATGCATTCCTGCGGTCAAATTCCAAATTTAACTACTTACTCAGTTTTGTTAGATGGCTTATGCAAACATGGTCAAGTTGATGTGGCATTGGAACTATTTCAGGAAATGCAAAACAATGAGATGGAACCCTATATTGTCCACTACAACATCATACTTGATGGCATGATTGAAGCTGGGCATTTTGAAGCTGCAAGAAAACTATTTTCTCACATCTTTATCTTTGGTTTAAAGCCTAGTCTCCCAACATATAACATAATGATCAAGGGACTTTGCAATGAAGGACTACCTGAAAAGGCTTATGACCTTTTCAGGAAGATGGAAGCAGATGATTGTTTTCCGAATAACATCTCTTACAATATTATAATACGGGGTTTCCTTCAAAGCAATGTCCTTCCAAGAGCTATGAATATTCTTCATGAAATGGTAAATAAAGGGTTTTCTGCTGATGCATCTACAGCAGTCATGTTAGTGAACCTATTGTCAATAAATGAAGAAGATCAACCGACTTGTGAAAAAAGTCGGGCACTGGGATGATCATTAAGCAATAAAGAGGAAGTTCTACAGGAAATGCCAACATTCTTGCAAGGTGTGCAAAGTCTCTTCTATGTTTCTAGTGCATTCATTCGTGTCTTCTATGGTCAAAAGTTAATGCTTTTTGGATCGGTACCATAATAGCAATTTGTCCTTCTATTGTTTATACCATTAAATTTTTTAGTTGTAAGAAAAGTTGATACCATAAAATGCATGATGTGGATGAAAGTCATTTATATTTTAATTTGGGGATTAAAGTTCAATATTTCTATTGTGTATATATGATACTTTGACTTTGTCCCCATATATTTTCTCAGTGTTACTTTGTTCTGCAAACTAAAGGGGAAAATATTGTGATTATTTTTTTTCCTTTTTAGCTGAACTATTTTGCTATTTTCATTTTAATTTTAAGAAATTATTTCTGTATTAAAACCCTGATCCCTGTTATAGACTTTTTCATTTTTATGTATTATGTTTTCAGTAACTTTGTTGAGACGTATAAAATGCTTCATTACTGGCAGTTCCTGGATTTATTCATGCGAATGAGTTTATTGCTGATGATTCTTTCAACTCAGTTTATGGACTACGGCAAGGCAAGAAGCACTTTTTTTCCTGTAAAAATTATTTATCTACTAGTCTTTGATTTTTAGCTAGTGGATTCAATTTTGCTTAATTGTATATCAATCCTTTTTTAATAGGTAGAAGAAACAGGTTCATCTGTTTAGACCTCAGAACAAAATTGGCACTTTTGTGAAGATATGGGGGAGCTCATTTGAAAATATTATTAGAGATCATTGAAGGGAAGTGGCCTTCTTAAACTGAGTGTTTTTCTCAAAGACAGGGTGCATGAAAATGTGGTCTCAGTGGTAAAGGGGAGTGTTGTTCTCCATAGTGGTCCTGGGTTCGAGCAGCTGCGTTTGCAGAGTGTGTGCTTGTTGTCAATAGACTAAGAAAATATTTGAACGAATACAACCTTATAATTAGCCTTGAAAAAGTGATTTTTGATTCACAACTTGTCTAGGGTCTCGAGTCGTATACCGGCATCATCATTCAAAGGATTAATTCAGGTAATTATATTTTTTTCCAGGAAATTGCTTACAACCATGTATATCTGTTATGGCATCTATGTTAATAAATTCTTAGTGTACTATAACCACAATATGCCCAAAACTTTGAATGCATGAGATGCTTCCTTGGAGGTTTGGTGTCTATACGTAGCTTAGTACATTCAACTTGGGTAGCATTTGAGAACTTAAATTTCTAAAATAGTGTAAATTATGTGATAAAACAAATACTCATGATTTTCTTCAAATCCAAGGATTTGTTGACTGCCTGTGATTTTAAAATTCCTTTGGTATTTATGAATTTCTCGAAGTCATATTTCCATAATTTCTCAAATATACAAGAATTAATTGCATTACATGTCCTTAAAGTATGATCTTCATTTTAATTTGGTCTCTAAACTATGATTATCATTCTAAATTAGTCATCAAACTTTTAAACAAGTCAATTTCATCCCTAAACTATTACTTCCATTCTAAATTGGTTTATAAACTTCGTGAATATTTCAATTTCATCCTAAACTATATGTATATACTAATCACATTCCTTGTAAATAAAATTGTTAGGCCAAGTTATTTTATTATATGTTTAAAATAACAAAATTTAAGTTAACTATGGTTGAAATTAATTACATATTTGGATGAATTTGGGGATAAAATTAGAATATTCAAAAGTTTGGGGATTAATATATAAAAGGAGTCATAGTTTAGGGATGAAAATAAAATGTTTAAAAGTTTAAGGACTAATTTAAAATGATATTCATAGTGTAACATCTCAAAAACCAGGTTAGTGATCAAAGTGTAAGATTGTAAAATTTGGTGGTTAATTTTGATTTAATTGAAAAGTTTAGGGATTGAATTGGAATTTCTTAGATCAGGATTGGATAACAAAGTTTGAAAAAAAAAAAGGTATAATGGTCATTTGATAGGAAATGAATTAAAAATTCATATGGGTGTCTTTATATCCACATGGAAAGAAAGATAAGTGGAAAAAAATCTGGAGTTTGGAGCTTCTTCTTCTCTTCTCGTGTCTTCATAGCTAAGGTAAGGAAGGTTCGAATTGGTTATTTCTTATATTTTATGATGGGTTTTGATTCTTTGGGTATTAAGAAAGCTTAAGGGAAGCTTAACGTGGATTAAAATTCAAAGATGAATAAGTTATGTAAGATTGAAGGTAAAGAGTTTTTAAGGAAATTATTGAGAAATAGTAAGTAAATAAGTTTTGTAGTGAAATTTGACTTGTCATGAGATGAAATAAGAAATCTAAAGTGTTAGAAATGAAATTGGAACATGTTGGATAATCAGTGTGATTTTGATTTCCAAGGGTTCTATGAGTATTTTGGATGTTTAAGTGTGTTTAAGTGATATAAGTTAGTTTTCATAAGTATACTTGAGTTTAATGAGTTGAAAGGAGTTAAAAATGAAAGGTTTAAGTACGTTTCGTAAAAGTTTCGAGTAAAATAAGTAAGTTCTGGGCATGGGGTATCAGTATTGTTCATCCAGTATCGATACTTCAAAGCTAAAAGAGTATAAATTGAGCTTAGGGTATCGATATTGAAAGAACAACATCAATACCATATGATATAATTGGAAGAAAATTTTAAGAAGTATCGATACCTAAAGGGGTGGTATCGGTACTGGTTGAACGAGTATCGATACCAAGTGTCTAGTATCGGTACCATTATCAAGTTATAATTACAGAATGTAAAAATGGTATCAGTACCTAGGGGAAGTATCATTACCATAAGAGGGTAGTATTGATACTATAGTAAGAGTATCGATATTATTAAGCTAGAATGCTAAATCCAGTGTTTCTTCCAGCATAAGTTATATTGAATGGTTATAAGTGATTGGAATTTCAATATTCATGTAAGTTGTATTATTGTGTAGATATTGATCGGAAATGAGTATTAGATGAGTTAACGAGATAAGATCGAGCAAGAATGAGATAAGTGTATGACTTGGAATAGTGAGGCTAAGGTGAGTGCTTATTACTATGGTATATGATTAGATGCAAATTAGACTTGCGATGAGTTTGTTTCCAATGATTTGCTTTCATGATTACATGAATAAGAGTCGGTAGCTGTTTGGATGTGAACATGTATGGTTATATTCTCTGTTGTATGATATTGATTTATGTGATATGAACTATGTAGGTATGTGAAAATGTGATACAAACAATATGATTATGAACTAGGTAAATATACGATTGTGTGATAATTTAGGTGAACTAATATAAGGAAATTATATGATTAACTGAGAAGTGAGATAAGATAAGTAACATTGACCTATAAGATAATATGAGAATAGTATATCAACTAGGAGACATGTATAAATGATTATATGAACATATGAGAACAAGAGATAAAATATGTGAATTTGTGATATAAGTTATATGATCATGAACTATGTAAATAGAAATTATTTAAGTGATAACTAAAGAAAGTGATATAAGCTATGTGGTGTAGATATAAATGATTCTATGAACAGGAAATATAAGCTATATGACTATGAGTTACTTGATTACATATCTATGTGAGACCTATGTGATCATATGAAAATGTTATATGAGCTATGTGATAAGAAGCAATGAGATTATATGTCTCTATGTGATATGAGTTATAAGAAATGTGATAAATGGTAAAACCCATGTTACGTGATAAGAAAGCTAGGGGTATAGTTGGCATGCCAAGAGTCGAGGGTTTTACGCAGTCCTTCGGGACATATATGTTATATGTCTTCCTTCGAGACATATATGTTATATGTCTTCCTTCGAGACATATATGTTATATATCGTCCTTCAGGACATTTCTACGTGGTCCTTCGGGACAATTTTATATGCCACTATTGGGACCTTATACGAGCTGTGGTGACAACATATGTGCACAACCTCAATATACTCACATATCTTTAGTTCTCACAAGTGTACCATGGGCAAATAAAAGACATAACATAAGAAACCTTGTGTGTTATTATATGTTTTGATGAGATATGTGTAGGTATGTATTTGCTACATGAAATAGTATAGGATCATGTATGATATGATGATATGAAATGAGGTTAATGATGATAATGATGAGATATGGGTATGTATACATTTGATTATATGAATATTCTATGGTTTTATGTGATATCATAGTATGAAGTGGTCATGCATTGTTAAGTATTTAGAGTTTTCATTATATGTTTTTATGCCTCACTAAGTCTTCGACTTAGCGTGTGAGTGTTTCAAACGTAGGTTCCAAGAAGCAAGAAGAGGAGCAAAGCAATGATAGACAAGTCAGGACAGTTTATCCTTTTAAAAGATCAGATCAGAAAAATATATGTGAATAGTATGTAGTTTGTTATAAGGAAAGTCCTTGGCATGTAATAAAAGGTTTGAATTGTATCCGCTCTGATAAGTTTTGTAAACTCTTTGATTGAAATTGTATAAAGTATGCACTTTGATTTAATAAAAGTTAGAATTTTCATTCTTTTGTACAAGTATATGATTTGAAAAGTAAATGTGACATCTCGGACTCGTATTCGGGTCGGATTCGGGTTGGGAGTGATACACACAGTTTGGGATGAAATTAGAATATTCTAAAGTTTAGGGACTAATTTAAAAAATGATTATAGTTTGGAGACATATGATGAAATTAACTCAACATATAATCATATTGAATTTCAGTTAACTTATTCATAATATATGCATTTCAGTTATACAACAAATGAAATCTGAATCCATATTTTGAAGTTTTCATTTGCAAACATAACATTAGAGTTAGTGCGAGGTTTACTTTTCACATACTCAAAGCCTTTTTCCTATTCTCTACAAAGTAGATGTCATTTGTTTTATGCTGGTAAGTAATGTATTAGTCATCATACTAAATCTTGGATTGTATCCCTCTATTGAAAAATTCAAGAACTTCATCTTTGTACATTTTGAAAGGTATAATGTCAAAAAGACCCTTAACATTTTACTAAATAATAATTATTTTGGTCCCTAACTTTTCATTTTGTGGGCAAAAAGACCCCTCTATAGATGAAATCGTTAGTTAACAAGCTATTAATGTTCCAAAATAGGGGTTCTTTAATTCTAAAATGAAACGTTAAGGGTCAAAATGCTTTAGAAAAAAAAGAATAAAGATCAAAATGACTATTTGATCAAACATTAGGAGGTATTTTTGCCTTAAAATGAAATATTATGGGTCGAAATGTTCCAAAAAGAAATATGGGATAAAATGACTATTTTCATAAACATTAAGGGTTAATTTAAAAGAGTAAAATAGATCCTCCAAAAATTACATCCATTTTGCATTATTTGTTGACATTGTAAATATAAAATAAACGTTTTGTCCTTGGCATTTACATTTATTTGTCAATTTATCTTCTAATTATTTAAATACATAATAGTTCAAAAACATAGTTTTATAAAAAATATTTGAAAGCAACGGGCTTTTCTTATTTTCTAAGAAGATTTTATTAACCTTTTCAACTTAGAAAATATATAGGTTCTCAATGTATTTGAAAATAAAATTTTACATAATCATCTAACTTCGAGCCATTACTTAATTCAATCATTCAAGTTCACTGTAATTTTCAATAAAAGAAATGTTTTTGACTTTTCAATGAAAAATAAACTGTCAGTTTTTAAAACATATTTGTGGATTTAGTTACTACAAAAATTATAAATATTTGATTTATTGTTTTCTCTGAGATTTGAATTTAATGAGCATAAATTTATGTATATATGATTTTAAATACACTGGTTGGAATCTAGGGTCGGTTTAGTTTAAAAATTATTTTATATATATTTTTTAGAAAATATAATTTTAATTTTTTAACATTAAAAAATATTTTGATTAATATAAATAAAAACTTGAATCCGAAAATAAAAATAGTAAAGTTGTATTTGATATTTAACTCTTTAAAATAGAAATGAACAAATACTTATTAAATAATTAAATTAAACTATATTATTAAAACGTTTCATTACATAAATTTAACATGTGATTTATGTAAACATAAAATAATAAAGTTGATAAAAAACTTCGTAACATATAATTATTTTAGTTTATAATAAGAATATAACATTAATGCATATTAGATCTCAATTAAGTTTAAAGAATACATAAAATATATTGGTGTAAGCATGAGCGTACAAAAATATCATTAAAAAATATATGTTTAGTGGAAATAGAGACTCAAACTTTTGAGCAAAAAACTAGTGTGGCCCCTTAACGTTTTTGGCACTCAATGTGACACATAAATTGAGAAAAAAAAGTAACTATCTCTTTGACCAACATAATCAAATGTTGAATGTTACGACGCTTACATGACATTTCACGAAACTCATATAATAATCTACAATATTAATGTGACAATTCACGATATGGTTGTGACAGTACACAATAGACAATAATGTAGTAGATGACCTTAATTGATTTTTTTGGCTAAGTTCGAGGGCATAATTGATTTTTTAAAAAAAGTTTAATGACTTATTTAATTTTTTAGAAAAATTAAGAAATTATTTAAATTTAAAATATAAACAATTATTAATATATTCAATGGATTAAATATAAAAATACTATAAAATTAAATTATTAAAAAATAATTTAAGGACCGTGTAAAAAAGTTTAAGAATCACATTGATTTTTTTGCTAAAAGCCGAGGATTTGATACACCGTTAAGTTAAAATATTATTTTTAAGTTAAAATATGATACACCATTAAGTTAAGTTAAAAATATTTTTATTTTTCAAATTTTCAAAAGATTTTTAATGAAAATCCTGAAAACATTATTTTTTTCAATGTTTTCATATTTCCACTTATTTTTATTTCCATTTTCTAGAAATCATTTTCTAAATTTACAAAAAGACACGTTTTTTTTCAAATAAATGCTTTTCATATAATACTTCACTTGATTTTACTAAGAAGATTGATTATTAAGATGTGCGTTAAAATTGAAAAATAATTAACCTTAGTTCTCAAGTAGTTTTTTTTTTTCTTTAATTCTTTTCTGTCTGCTGATATGATTATCTATGCTCGTGTGAAACGTAACTATACTTTTTTTTTCTTCCAAATTTTACTTCTAACCGTTATCAAGCATCTCAGCTTGGTTTATATAGTTTTGACTATCGAAGTTTTCTCATACCAATATTGATAGTTCTCATAAGTTTGATTATTTGATTGGTTTATATAGTTTTTACTATCGAAGTTCTTTCACACCAATAAAATTGATAATTCTCATAAGTTTGATTATTTGATGGGAGATTTAGAACATGAATTGGACAGTTTTAGTATAGGAGAAGAGGAGGAACAAACACTGGCCATGGGTTAAGATACAAAAAAAATTCGATTATTTCTTTAGATAATTGTTTCTGGGTTGTTTCTTGACATCAAGTATGATCAATTTTCAAGTCATGAGCACTACTTTAACAAATGTTTGGCACCCCCACAGGGGAATAGAAATCACCGATATGGGAGGGGACGATACGCATTTCATATTTTTTTTTCACAAAATAGATGCTAATCGCATTGACATGGAAATACTATGGTATTTCAACTCCCATATGCTCGTCTAAAACGGACTAAAAGAAGGGGAAGATCCCATGTTAATACACCTACACATTCTAGATTTTTGGGTTCTTTAATGAGTAACCGGTCAGCTACATATAAGAATGGCTAAACAACTAGGGAATCTCATTGAAAATTTTATAGTATATGATTATAGTGCCATTACATTAGTTATTGGAGAAGTACGAGGATTCGAGTTGGGTGGATATTCGATTATTTTAGGTGGTTACATCGATAATAATTTGCCAAAAGGAGAATTATTAAGAGCGAGTTTAATGTACAACGGGAATGGAATAGCTGTTGGGTGGTCAGGGCACCCTAACTATATAAAGACACTATAAGTATAAAGCCCTTAATACTAAGACCATATTAGATGCATATCCACTGTACTAGTGAAGAAAAGAAGTAATAAACGAACATCGGCCAACAAAGTAGACGAAAAACAACACCTTGAGAAGGCCGAGTTAAAGTGAGAGTCAGAGTGGATAGTCAAAGGGTGCTAACATGGCCAAAGCCATAGTTGTAAAAAGCGTGCCTGAGGCGCAGAGGCTCACTGAACGGGGTTTTTTCAACACTGAAGCGAGGCACGTAGCCTAGGCGCATCGAGGCTCTGAGGCGCGAGGCTCAGTCGAGGAGCAATTGACACGCGATGTGGGCTTAAAACCTTGTAATTACAACTGAACAATCAATGCTTCTTATCAATTCTTCAAGCGATCGTCAAAGACAACGCGAACCCACGGTCAAGATCGAACAACACCGATGACAAAGAAAATGAACGAGGGAAAAGGGGGTTCTTCGATATAAATTAAGGGGGGGAATTCTAAAAGAAGAAGAAGAAAGAAGGGCTTGAGAATATGAATTTGGTGGTTTTGTGTAATCTTCCTTTTGGGCTGTGTTTCTCGTACAAAAAAACTGCGACGCGAGCTGAACACGGAGAGGACTATGAGGCTTTTTATTTTCAAAAACTTTCACCACAAGTGAAAAGACGAAGAAGAGACCCCCAGAAACGGTGATTCCTTAATTACTTTTTAACTTTAATTTGAATTAATTAAAGTTTAAACACACAAATATTCCTCTAATTTTTTTACCATTTCTTTTACATTTTCTTCTTTCTACGCGTCTATCAATGTTGACTTTAGTTTGTTTTATTTATTTATTTAATCGTTCCTTTATAAAATTATTTATTCTTCTAGTATGTGAAATATAATCGAGCATTAAAGCAGCGTTATAATTTAGTCTATGTGAAATATAATCGAGCGTTAAAGTGGCGTTATAATCCTCGTGATGTCATTGATCCAATCTATTTGGATGACATTGATGAAAGTAACGAATGGTTGCTTGGTAGAATGGATGAGAATGAAGAAGAAAATGAAGATTATGTGTTTGATGATGACGATTTGACATGGAAGGATGTTGGTATAGCTTCCGGAGCTTATGAGCGTGACCATAATACTAGAAGAAAGAATATTGCTAGTTCAAGCTCGAAAGGAAAGGAAAAAGCTAGACCCTCCTTGTATATGAAGATGATGAAGTTGTTATGCTAGAGGAGGGTGACACTGAAGAAGAAGACATTGGGGATTGTGAGACGGATGAGGAGGAAGATGATGACATACCACTTCACGATGATGATGAGGATGAGTTTGATGTTTGATGATTATTATCAGTGACTTTATTTGATGTTTTGTTTATAAATGTTAGATGTTTTTGTTAAACTTAATACTTGATTATGCTTGTTGATAGTTTTTGTGACGGTAGGTTAGTATTTTGAGTTTGAGAATGAACTCTATTTAAACCTAATATTGGGTATATATGATATTTGAATTTGATTGCATTAATATATACATGTATTATAATTTTTTGAATATCATGCGCCTCGCATTCGTGAATCCCGTGCCTTTTATGCGTCTCGTGCCTCAAGGCTCCAGGACACTTTACACCTCGATGCGCCTTGAGCCTTTGATAACTTTGGCCAAAGCCACCCAAATGTGTCACATCAGTCTTTTGTTAATAGAGTAATGGCTGTTAGCGGTCGAGTGACTGATTTATTACAAAACAATAACGATACAAACTGTTTTGTTACTTCTAAAACTTCCGTGCAGAAAACGAAAACTTACTCGTACTTCTAATGGAACCCATTTTCATAGGCACAATGGATCAAAATTATTAACCATTCTCATTTATCAAAAATATTATAACAAACTAGCATACATTCATCGTCTCGAGTTAATAGTACATCACACATCTTTATCCGAGGTTCAAAATCTCAACTCAGAAACAGAATGGTAGAAACACATAGCTTACCAGGGTGGAATGGTACCAGAATGGAATGGCATCCTGCAGATTTAATCTTTAGGTAGAAAATGGCAGTAGTCAAACAGATAACTCTGTCTTGGAGATGAGGATACCATCGGTGTCTGCATAAAGCCACTCCCCATCGCAGATTCTAGTCCCGGCAATAGTTATCGGGACATGTTTCTCCCCAATTCCTTTCTTATTGGCCTTCATTGGATGAGAATGAAGAGCTCTCACCCCAATGTCACAACCATTAATCTCATCGACATCCCTTACGCAGCCGTTAACCACTATTCCGGCCCATCCATTATTTTGAGCTTGAACCACAGGGTTGCCTCCAAGTATGGCACACCTTAAACTACCGCCCCCATCTACGACCAGAACTCTGCCGTTACCCTTCTCCTCAAGGAACTCACGGATCAAAACGTTGTCTTCAAACACTTTCAGCGTAACTATAGGTCCAGAAAAGACCGGGCGACGACCATATATTTGAAATATTGGTTGGAGGGCCCGAAGTTCACCACTCACAATTAGCTGTGGATTTGCATCACACACTTCAGCAGTTGTAACCAAAGCCATCTATTACAAACACCTTCAAGTAAAAACAACTACAGAAAATATTCAGGCCCAGAAATGAAGAAGATACAATCACGTTTTCTCAAAATTACACTTGAATACAAGCTACCAGACACTAGAAAGTTGGATCTAGTCATCATTGCTAGTGAAAAAACTATGGTAATTTAAATCTAGTAGTATCACTCAAAGCCACAATTTATCGTAATTACGAAAAAAAAAGAGCTAGGAAATAAACATGACCAAAAAAAGCCAAAGAATATGTTAGAACTAGAATGCATCTGAAAAAGGAAATAAAAGTTTTCCTAACAATCCAAGGACCAAAAGAGCTCTCCTCTACATATCATCTTCACCAAAACAATCAATTCAGATTGGGAACCTTAGAGAAAGACAAATTCATGTAGTTACTCTTAAAAAGGTAACATTCAGAAAAACTAGGTTCGGTTCCCAGCAAACTAAACGACCTCAGTGGTTAAAGGGATGATCGTTATTCTTAGAGGTCCCAGGTGACGTCTATTATCTTATAATCATCCCAAACTGATCAAAAAGAAAAAAGGATTCGGTTCCCAGCATTCCCATCCTTGGATCTTCCTGAACAACCAAGCATTCGACATATACATAACGATAAAACAAAATCACCAATTTCTACTGTCATTGCAGTCAGAAAGTTCTCTAAGATTTATGCCGAAATCAAGAAGCATAAAGAACAGTGCAAAAGTACCAACATTGAAATCCAACAAATCAAATACAAACAACGAAGTTTCAACATAACCAAATCGGAAAAAAAAACACATCAAGTCCATCAACAGGGCATGGAAAATGAAGTCCTTAAGATCCAATATTTGGAACAAAATGTAAGAAAGCGATTCAAATTCTTCAAATATGAGAAAACCCATTACGATTTAATAACTAGAAATGTTTCCTCCGTACTAATATTAATCAAACCTCTTTTTAATTTATACCCTTTTATCTTAAGCTCTTGTATTTATCATCATAATCTTTTGCTTTCCGTAAACAATCATTCAACAAATTTATACACAATCTAAATAAGCTGATCATATAACCCAATTTAAAAGATGGGTTAGTTTTGTATAATAACACTGAATCAATATAAAATAAAAAACAAAGAAAAATAATATAAATTTGAATCAACATCAGATAACTAAAATTTGGAAAAAAAATCAAAGTGGTAGATTTTTTTACCTAGAAACGGAGATCGTCTAAGAAGGTTTCAAAAGAAGATGCAAAGTGAAAGTTGAAACAGGGGGTGGAGGAATTTGTGGTTTTAAGGTAGGAAACAAAATCAGAGTATGGCTGCTAAATCGCATGATTGTTTTTTGTGTAAACTACACTTTTAGTATCTCGACTATTATTTTTGTTCTGTTTTAATCACTTAATAATTTATTTTATCAAAATCATATCTAATATTTAATTTTAGCTTTATTTTGGTTATATGCTATTGAAAAATTAAGTCTTAATGTAAAAAGTGCTTAAATTATACCTAAAGTTAACTTTAGGTGCTTGAAGATTTTTTCGTTAAAAATAAGTGTCTAACGTTTCCAACATTATACTTTTAGGTGCTTGGACCATTAACACCGTAAAATTTAAATATATTTTTTAATTTTTATAAGTTTAATATTTTTCACTTAACATTCAAATTTAAAGGCAGACACCTAAAAGTATAACTCGAAAATGTTAGACACCTAAAATTAACTCGGAGTATTGTTTGAGCACTTATTTTTGCATTAAGTCAAAAATTAACGATAATATTGACGTGTTACCATAAAGTAATATCACGTCATCAATTAAAAAAATATCATGCCAACATTTGTGTTAATTTTTTAACAGTAGATGACTAAAATGAAATTAAAACGTAATATTAAATATAATTTCAAAAATTTAAAAATAGTTAGATGATCAAAATAAAAATTATTTGTACTATTAACCCTGGTTCCACATTCTTATGTGGGGACATGAGATGGTGACTGACAAGTTGCTTGCTAATGATGTAATGAGCACATATATATATATATATATTCATTGTTAAATGGTATTTTTTTACAAATTTATATTTAAAATTTGTTTGATTTATAAAATTTATGAATGTGAAATTTGATCATTAAAAATTATATATAAAAATTAAATTTTTTTAAAGATACATCGTCTTCAAATACTCGCCTCAATCTATCTCTGATTGATTCAAATTCATTTATCAATTATTGAAAACACAAAAATAAAGCTTCATAAATTATAAATAATATTTGAGCTAGTGGTTATTTAAAATAAAAAACTCATACTTTTATCAATATTTATATATAATTTATTTTATTTGTCTAAAAAGAAAATCAATAGTCCTTTAAAAATATATTATAATTTTATCAATACTTATATATAATTTTATATAAATTAAAATTTTAAAATTATAATATAAATTAACCAAAATTTATATAAATTGAATTATTATTATTATTATTATTATTATAATATAAACATTTGGTGTCCTTTTTAAGGAATATAATGATAAGTTTATTATTATAGTTTATTTTTATAAGAATTTGAAGGGTTTTAATTAGATTTGTGAAGTTTGAGATATTTTTCAGTGAATTGTATTGGATATATGAACTGCAAAACTACACCGTTAGCACTGACTAGAAATATAAATAGTAATTAAGAAGAACAAATTCGTAAACCGTGTCGTGGTAAGAACCACTGCCTTAGAAACGAATTCGCCCCGATGTGTGTAATCGCTGCAGTAGGCGGACCGTCCCCCGAGGTTAACACGGTCGCTCCAAATTTCGTACACCCGAAACCGGAGTGGACTGCTAGTGGTATTGTACTTCTGATCAAAAAGCACTCAGAGAGAACTCACAGAGAGAACTTTAGAAAACACTTTGTAAGTGAATTGTGAATGTTTTTGAATGAGTTGAGAAGCTGAATATAGCTCTCTATTTATAGGCTAGAAATAGGGTTAAAATCGTCTATAAAATTTCAGGATTAAATCTCTTATTTGTAACAGCTGAAACGTCTAGATGAACCTGACTCAGAAATAGTCCAGGTTCATTGTATCATTATTCAGCTGTTATAAGTCCCGAAATTATATCATGTAACCCCTGGAATTAAATCAAATAACTCCTGTAACTCCTGATATTAACAGCTTGTCTCCTCTGTACAAAGCTGTAAATCAGTCCAGATACATCTTAACGTTTCTGATTTAATTTAGGAATAAACTGTTTAATTTCTGATAACAAATAATTCAGCTGTTATTATTTGAAATTCAAACAGTCCTCGGCAGCCTATAAATATCAGTTGATATCTTTCACATTTTCCATTTGTTTCTTTCAAAGAGAAATTCCTCAAGAATTTTCTCTAAAAAGATAGTATCCGCGCGGACGTGTCGAAGACACATATTACCACGACCACGACCACGACCACGAGCCGAGCCGAGCCGAGCCGAGCCGTGCCGTGCCGAGACGAGACGAGACAGACGGACGGCGGCAGCGGTGCGCGAGAGCCCCCCCTTGTTCTCTATCACTCAACAAGGAAGTGGAATGTCAAGCCTTAAATACCATTCCCAATAGTGTTTCCAACACTATGTGGGATTGAGCATTACCAACATTCCCCCACTAATGCGAAAGAAATCTTCTGAAACTCGAAAACAAGCTTTCCAGAAGAGCAATAGCGAGATTAGTTGCTTAAGCACTAGTGAACATATCTGGAACTAGTACATAGTGATGATGAGCAATCATTCTCTTAGATAAGTGAAACTAGTCTGGAACTTTCTAAGATCAGGGTAAACTCATAACACACAACTAGCCCCTTCATCCACCTGAGTCCTCGATGTGTAAGATATATATATACAAAAGTATATATTTGGCCATCTTACCTCAGGATTCTAGTAAGTGTGCTAGAAAAATGGCCTAACATTTTTCATAGAAGGCGGCTAACCCTTCTCACTTACATAGGTTATTTCATCAAGTTTATCTCCACATAAACCACCCTTTAAAAAGGGATATGAAATAATTAAGAGCTTTTATTATAGCTCAACCTCACAAAGGGTATGGTGACTTTTTTCAAGTTCATTATAAATGAACCACCCAAACTCTGGGATAAGAAGTCATTAAGAATAAATATTCAACCTCATTTATCGGTAAATTCAATAAGTCCTTCTCACTAGAACCATCCAAATACTTGGATTTGAATTTATTAAGAGTTTAACAAACTCAACCTTTCTGTCGGTAAGTTCATCATTTCCTACCCACTCACTCTGGGTTATGAACTTATTAAGAATAGATATTCAGCCAAAATCGGTAAATTCATCAAGTCTTTCTCACTAAGACCACCCAAAGCCTGGGCTATGAATTTATTAAGAGCAATTAAGCTCATCCTGGGCATGCACATTATTCATCATAGGGATAGGCAGTAGGAATGTGCATTATGAGTCTTTCCATGGTTTCGTTTGACCACATGGAACTTAGATAACTAATTTGGGTATCCACCATGAATTCCTCAACCAATGGGCTTTAGACCCATCCCTCTCGACGAATCTAGGACCAGCTTCCGACTTAACCCTTTGGTAAGTGGATATGCTAGGTTCCTTTCCGACTTCACATACTCTAAAGAGAGCACTCCATTCTTTATCAAGTGTCTAACTGATTCATGTCTTATGAGAATATGTCTTTTCTTACCATTGTAAGCTTAGTTCTTAGCCACACATATCGCAGCTTGTGAATCACATAATAATGAAACTGGAGGAGTCGGTCTTCCCCACAACGGAATATCTGCTAACAAGTTTCTGAGCCACTCGGCTTCTTGCCCAGCTAGGTCAAGAGCTATAAACTCTGACTCCATGGTAGAACGAGCAATACAAGTCTGCTTTGATGATTTCCACGAGATTGCTGCTCCACCCAAAGTAAAAACATACCCGCTCGTAGAGCTTACCTCATCATTATCAGAAACCCAGTTGGCATCACAATATCCTTCCAGTACCGTAGGAAAGCCAACAAATTCAAGTTTCCAATCCACAGTACCCTTAAGATACTTCAGTAAGCGTTTATGTGCAATCCAGTGCTCACCACTCGGATTATGAGTATATCTACTTAGTCTACTCACAGCATAAGCAATATCAGGCCGAGTATAGTTCATTAAGAACATTAAGCTTCCGATTAATTTAGCATATTCAGTTTGAGAAACACTACTTCCTTTTATTCTTAACTAGATGTATGCTAGGGTCATAAGGAGTTCGAACAGGGACGACATCAAAACTGTCAAATTTCTTTAGCACTTTCTCTATATAATGTGCTTGACATAAAGAAAATCCCTTCTCAGTTTTGGTAACTTTGACTCCTAAGATTACATCTACTTCTCCCAAATCTGTCATCTCAAACTTAGTAGACAAGAAATTTTTAACTTTGTTAATGGACTCAATGTTAGAACTGAAAATCAACATGTTATCAACATAAAGGCTTATGATAACACATTCAGTTTCAAACATCTTCGAATACACACAAGCATCCGAACCATTCACAACAAAACCAAAACTAAGAATAGTTTTATGAAATTTCTCATACCACTGTTTAGGAGACTGCTTAAGTCCATAGAGTGACTTTTTGAGTCTACAGACTTTGCCTTCCATACCAGGTGCCTCAAAACCTAGTGGCTGCTCCATGTAAATCTCCTCATCTAGATCCCCATTCAAGAAAGCAGTCTTAACATCCATTTGATGTACCTGCAACTTATGAATAGAGGCTAGTGCAAATAATGCACGAATCGTTGAGATTTTTGTAACGGGAGAGTATGTATCAAAGTAGTCTAAACCAAACCTTTGAGTGAACCCTTTGACGACTAACCTTGCCTTGTACCGCTGAATCGAACCATCTGGCCTTAGTTTCTTCCGGAAGACCCATTTGTTGGAGATTGGTTTGAATCCCTTAGGCAAGTCAACTAATTCCCAAGTATGATTAGACATTATCGATTCTAGTTCATCATTAACAGCGCTTTTCCAAAAACTAGCATCGATAGATCTTATAGCTTCTTCAAAAGTTTTAGGATCCTCATCTAATAGAAAAATTTGAGCTATAGGATCTGAAATGAAGTCTAAATCATTTATCTCAGAAATAAAGGAAGTAATAAAGTCTGGTCCAAAAGAGGTTTCAATTCTTTGCCTTTTACTTCTTCTAGGCTCAAAATCTATTTGTTCAGAAGACCTAGCAGGATTACTAGAAGAAGTTGATGGAATATATTCTATTTGTGTTTCAATATTTATTCTTGGTTCCTTTAAAGGAAAAGTATTTTC